TCAACAGTTAATCAGAAAGGCATTTTAAGCACATGCTTGGAGGTTAAGCATATGCTTAAATGCCTTGCTGAATGGTGATGCTTTCCTCTACTGAAGCTTAACTCTGCTTTAACTTTTACAAATATAAATATTATTCCAATATACATAACTACTTTCATTGTTAGTAGTCTATAAATTTTTGCTACCAAATAAATAAATAAATAAATTAAATAAAGGTTTGAAGGGCAATAAAGCATCGAAAATCAGATACTGATAAAGTAGCCTGGCAGAATTATGATCCGTTTTTTCTACCTGCATTGGTTATGTTCTTAACTCTTGCACTTCCAGAGGTTCTTGTACTAAGATAAATGTGTTAGCATAAAAAAATAGATATGAATAAACATGTTTACATAAATACATTTTATTTCATTACATTTAATTGTGTAAGCATTACTTTTTCCTGATATGGGTGATACACTTAAAATTATTTTACTGGCTAAAAAGAATAATGATAAAAAGTTTAAATTGCAAAAGTTAAACAGGTTAATTAGTGTTAATACTGCTATAATAACTTGCCATATCAGTCACCTATTTATAAATTGAAGTCTTTAGTAGTTAATACTGTTGACAATATTCAAAAAAAAATAAGAGTCTAGTTGTTTTAATAAATATGTCACAATAGTGGTTTAAAACATTTTCCATCTTTAACCCAAGGGCTTATTTTACAGCATTCACTTTCTGAGGGTGTAGCTTTATTTGCTATATATTCAATACATTGCAATTAAGCAAAGTTCATAATCGAATAAATACCACGTAATTTTTTTGCAAGGTAAGGTGTCTCTCCTTTGGAACAATAGATACCTGTGCTGTCCTCTCATAAAAAATAAAGTTATATATGTAGCAGTTTTGTAGTGCCTTCAAAATTTAAGAGATTTATTTGGATATAAGCTTTCATGGGCAAAAACCCACTTCGTCAGATGTATCTGAAATCTTGCATCTGATAAAATGGGTTTTTGCTCATGAAAGCTTATACCAGATATATCTATTGGTCTTTAAGTTACCACAGGACTCCTCCTTGTTTTTGTGGATAGAGACTAACACAGCTTACCCTCTGATACTATGTAGCAATTGGTAACCAAACATTCTAAATTAGTAAAACTGCTTCATGTAACTTGAATACTCAGAGGAAGCATACTCTATTAAATAGACACATATTGTTAGGGTACATCTATACAGCAGCAGCATTTCAGAATAATGCCCATTCTACACAGCTAGCCTATTACTTTGAAATAATTTAAAAACAATGGGCGTCTTCTTTTGGTGTTTGTAACCTAATTCCACAAGGAATAACTTCTCTTCCGAAACAGATATTTTGGAATAGCAGTCGTGTGGACATTCCACTGCTGCTATTTCGAAATAACTCCTCCCCAAGCCATTCAAAGTAATTACTCTCCAGTGCTTGCTGCGGCTCTAAATTGAGGTAGTGCATCCACCTTAGGGGAGCCTGCCTCAGATTAAGTTACAGGCTTCCCTGTAGTGTAGATGTGCTATTTCAAAATAAACTATTTTGGAGTATTTCATCCGGAATAGCTTATTCTGAAATAATCATGCAGTGTAGATGTAGCCTTATTGTCCTTTTAGTCTCCATTCCTTATTTGGTATTAACAAAATAGTATTAAAATTTGACTCTCTGAGCAGAGCAGAAGTAATCTGGGTAGTGCTGACGTGTATCTCTACCATTCAGAAATTCATTCATGCACCTTCATCATTACCATCATCATCTTCTGGATTGCTAAGATTTACTCTGTGTATCCATCCTAAGCAATCCAGCTGAGACCTGTTTTTATTTCACTGGCATTCTGAGGTAAAATTTTATGAACATTACTCCCAAGCACCA